TTTTTTTTTTTAAGATTTTATTTATTCATTTGAGAGAGAGCGCACAAGCGGAGGGGAAGGGGCAGAGGGCGAGGGAGAGAAGACTCACCGCTGAGATGGGAACCCAACGTGGGGCTCGATCCCAGGACCCTGAGATCACGACCCCAGCCGAAGACAGGCGCCTAACCATCTGAACCACCCAGGCGCCCCATAGGTTAGGGTTTAAATTTGGTTTGGGATAGTCCAGATGAGTTGCCAACACCTAATCCAGTTACTGTGAAGTTACCAAGTTAACCTGAAGTTAAGCTCAGGTTGTTGGCAGAAATCATTTCCTGTGGCTTTAGGATGGAGAGCCCAGATTCCTCACCTGGCTGTAGGGCCCCTGGGTGGTCCTGAGGTGGCTGCTTCCTGCATCATGCCAGCAGGTCTCCAGAGCCAGTTTGCTAGCAAGTCTGAGTCTCCTCAGGTCCTGCCCACATTCAAATGAGGATTACACAATGAACACCCCGTGCTGGGGTGTGGGGCTCTTGAGGGACATCTTGGAGTGTTGTCTGCCACAGCACCTCATTTTCTTTTCTGACTGAATCACTTGAAATTGGGCCTCTTTGCCCTACATTACAAGTGCTTTCTGTAGCAAGTTAAAAAAAATAAAAAACTCCCCTACTGTGGGTCAGGCGCTTTTAAACATTGTTTAAACAACTGCAAAGTTAAAAAAAAAAAAACCAAAAACCTGTTCACAGGTAAGTGGAGGTGCCAGGAGGTCTTTTGTAACTTAAATGAAATCAACTTCCCTGATTGCAAAGCCTTTCCTCAATGAATTGGCCCCGTCCCTGCTCTAGCAGTGGTACGGTCTTAACCTGCGTTTGGAGGTGGTTACCTTGCTCTGCTTTGAAGGCTGAAAATGAGAGGCAAATGTTACCCTTGCTGAGAGAATGACTTACTCAGTTTAAATCAGTTGATCAAGTTAAGATTCTTAATTTTGATGTACCTATTAATATACTGTCTTTTTGTGTAGTGAAACAACTGGATATTCTAAAAATAAATGAAGGTAGCCAGAGCTCATGGCTTGCTCTGCAGTGAAGGATGGATGCCAGGGAGCCTCTCGATTCAGTGGTCCTGTAACACTTTTCCTAATACTCCAGATTTAGCATTGTGGTACTCTGGCAATCAATTTTGTGTGATGTTCAGTGAACTGGGAAGGGAGGAAAAAGCCAAATTGGATCAAAGATAGATAATTTCACAGGCTTATGTTCTCAAAGAAAGGGATCTGAGGGTTCTAACAATTTCTCGAGCTGTGGAGTTTGGTTACTCATTGTGATCATGAGAATGCTTTGGGTTTCAGATATCTTGCACCCTGGTTAGAAGCTGCTTGTTATTGTATGTTGAGTTAGGGGGTCTTGGACATACTTAGTTGCAGGCTTCAGTGTAAAAGAGCTTAATCTTGTAGTTTAGAGAACTGAAAATATTTTGGCAAAGCCTGTCCTTTGTTTCAGTGCTTGAAAGGGGGGGAAATAATTAGCTCCATTTAGAACTTCCAATTGTCTATACTCAGCTTACATTAGCTTTAACATTGCCCTGGGTTTTTGTTTTGCTTTTTTGTAATTACAAGAAAGAGTGGTTTTAAATATCAAAAATTAAGACTCAAAAATCTCAAGATTATTCAGCAAGTCATTGGTAGGATTAAAATAGGAACCTGAACAATTATGTCCGTCCCTCCCCCCCCCACCTTTTTAAGGTAACAAATGTATTCTTTGCCTCCAACCACCTTTACAATCCACTCCAGTGTTGATTCTGTCCCCACCACTCCAGGGACCACTGATGGCTTTCTCATGGGGAATTTCAGAGCCCTCAATTTTCTCATTCAGCCCCTCAACAGCACTTGATATTATGCATAGTATCTTCAAATATTCTTGGCTGGTAACACTGCAGCTTCTAGGCTTTCCTATCTCAGATGCTCACTGGCCAGGGTCATCTTTGGCCCTCTTCCTGGGCCATCTCCATTCCCACCATCCCAGATACTATCTAAAATATGCTGGCATCTCTCAAGTCTATCTCCAGAGCTTTTTATCAGTCAGGGTGCTGGCAGGAAATAGATGACTTACTGAAAGTGGGTAATTTGAGGAAAGCTTAATAAAAGGAGTTTACAAAGCTGTGCACAGGGTGTGGGGAAATCCCAGGGGAGAATACAGTTCTGAGGCCCAGTAACACTGGGACTAGTAGTATTGGGGTGTTGTTACCACCTTTAGGTCTGAAAGGTTGAAGGGAGGAAGTGGTTAATGGAACCAGGAGACCAGCTATGTAGAAAGGGTGGGAGACTGGGAAGCAGCAGGAATACATACTCTTGTCACTTTCCAGATTGACCAACTCCATTCTTAGTGCCTTCACACATACTGTTTGGTCCCCCTGACCCATTTCCCCACCACCACCTAGCTAGGCATCACCTACTCACCCTTCAGGTTTCCTCTCAGTACCACTTGGGGAAGCCTTCCAGAGCAGCCACCGTACCCCACCCCCATCACTCATAATTACATGCTGAGTAGGTTCCATGAAAGCTGGAACTATTTTTCTCACCACTATTGCTCCCACAGTCTAGTACAGTGATTACTATTATGTAAATAGCACAATACATATTTATTGATTATAATTTTGTATTTTCAGAAGTCCATAGAAGAGTTGAATTTATGCTAACGGTCTGTTTTTTAAAA